TGGGCAGCTGCCCAGGGCCCAGACAGAAAGGGGGCCCGAAAATGGGGGGGAAAAAATTACAATTGCAAAAAAAAGTTTTAATATTGTGCATATACGAGGCTGGCAATGTTATCAATTGAGAACAAACTATTTAAAGACAGCGATAGCACAGATGTGATAAAGACTTTTGCAACAAGTCCAATTACTGTTATCATTATCTCTGGCAAAGAGGGGCTGAACTACAGCTTTACTAAATGCTGCTCTTACTCTACTACCAGTACTGAAAGTTCGCCCAGGGCTGCCAGGAGTCTAGGTATGGCACTGGCTATAGACACACGAGGGAACCAGCAGTCAGAGAAGGTAAACTGCTGTATATTCACTTTTGAAAAGATTGCCCTTTTTGTACAGTATTGAGTCAAACTGAAAGCAGAGTTAGATGCATGGAGATGAGGTCAGAGATGTCAGGTATGATTGAGAGAGATGGGATAGTTGAAGTGGTAGAGTACTTAGGATTCCTTTTCTTAGATAATGGGAGGTACAGGGGCAAACTATGGAACAGCACTTGCTCACTGTCTGGATACATGTTTTTGATCAAAGAGAAGGAGGAAGCAGAGAACGACTGGGGTGAAATTGTAGAGTTTTAAAAACAAGAGCAAATATGTTGCCCTTCCAGCTAAATACTAGTGACACTTATCTGTGATGGCAATGGGATTTTTGGATAATAAACACTTCTGGAAGTCATGCTAATTATTCAGGTGCTTACATGTGGCTTTACTGCATAAGTTTAGGCACTTTTGACTGGACATTTTATTCTATGAAATGCTATCACTCGCTTGTATATTCCAGTGACTTAAGTTTTACAGGTAAACAACATGTACAGGTACAGCCTTCACAAAGTCAGGGCCATTTGCTAAGTCCAGCCATTTCTTCACATTTGTATTTGAAAGCTTTTACCTGTTCGTGGAGCCAAAAAAGTTGTCTCAGTCCACTAGACTAAATGTGTATGAAAGCTGACAGTGTATTTTCATCTAGACAATTACTTTGAAACCTTCTATAAAGCAATGTCTAGTGCTCCCAAATAAATCTCTTAGCTAGTGTAGGTGGATAACTGCGTAACTCTTCCTTTCACAAGAGGTAGTGGAAACGTCTTGGATCAGAAGATAATCCCAAGTATTTCTGCCTACTACATCTTCTTTACCTACAGAGAACAGTCTCTCAAGTACGGTAGTCCACAGATTCTCTCCATTTATGCGTATTAGTTGCAGGCTGTGGATGCAAATTTAAATACAAACAAATCCTGACCCAAAAAAAGAATGCAGGAAGTTCCTCCTGGTCTGACTTGAGTTATGGGGTTTTCTCCTTCTACACCCAGGGACCAAAATATCATCAGTGTCTAAAGCAGAATGAAGAAATACAGGTCTCAGATTGCGTCAGGTGGTAATAATACTGCAGGAAAAAAAAACCCCAAACCCTCACTATTGAAGCCTTGGCATGTAAAAACTTTTTTACTTTCTTTTGCAAGAATGTTTGGGCAATACACTTAAAAAAGGAGGGAATGTCAAAATAATTTATTGCGTAGCAGTTGAAAAAAATTAGAACAGAAATACAACCTTCTCTGAGAAGAGGGATGGGACAGTAAGGCAGGTGAGAGAAAAGGGTGAAGCACCAGAATTAAAATGTTCCATGAATTAGGTCCTGGATCATTTAATGTAATGTGACTTGATATATGTTGCAGTATAGCAGACAACAAAGGTTCTTACTGTTGGGAAAATGCAAAGCTGTAGCTCTTCCTCACTGTAGCAATAGACCACACTTGCCCGCTCCCTTAAACTGCAAAAGAAGCAGGAGTTTCTTGAATACTTATGACATCTGTTAGTACAGCCTTTTACAAGTTGGTATTTCAGGATTAAGTAGTAACAACACATACTATCATAACTGAACACAAATATATGAGGATTCTACAAAAGATGAAGGAAAATGTGGCTGGATTAATTGACAATAGAACTAAAACCCCATTGAGCAAATAGTGTTAGCTTTGTTATAGAAAGACTGATAAAGAAATATTTAACGTCCAGTTAGTTATGGAAGTGACACTATAGAAATTCATTAAGAAGAAAGAACTACTGATATTAAGGACCAAGTTCTGCTTTCCTTACTCAAGCGACGAGCGGTTCTACTGAATTTAGCATGACTAAAGGTCCAATAAAAATCTGTTGAGATCAGCAGAGTTGAAATGATCCAAAATGTGAATAAACCCACTTTTACTGACTAAGATTTTGGTGGTTTATGAAAGTTTTCTTTTTCAAACTGGTTACCGTCTACTGGGGTGTCTGCGGACATAGATGCAATACAGACCTCTAGCTTAGAGGCAGCATTTAACTGCCAGTTCCCAGAGATAGAAGTTGAGAGATGTTTGAAAGAGCATAGTTCTTCTTTCTCATCAGTAGTGAACTCTGACAACCAATGTGCTAAAGGAGAAATTTAAAAAAGAATCGTGACAAAGTTACCACTAATGCTCATCACTCCAAAACTCTTCAAAAGTACCTGACATATAGGGTTTTTTTAGTTTAAATTATATGGGCGTTTGAGGAAGCTGCATTACAGATATCATTAAAGGACAGAATTCATATTATTAAAATGCTTAAAACAGAGCTCCAGTTTAGATTGATGTCACCTGCAGGGCTGCTTTCAGATCAAAAGCCGCTTTTAGAAAAATGATGGAAAATAAGATTGCTATTGGGTTTCAAGCATCCTCCCCCTATTTTTCTCTCAGGGAAAAATAAAACAAAAATTTACCTACCAAGTGTCATCCTGTGGAATTGGAGGGTTTCTTCACAAGAGTGTGGGGTGAGGAGAGAAATCTACTTTTTCTTAAAAAACAAAAATATTGATTGTTAGCTATAGGTGGCTTTATTTAAAGTCAAGTCATAGTCTAATGCATTTGGTCCCATTCATTTATACAGGCACACAAGTTGGGACAGTTCATAACAAACAATACAAAGTGAAGGAGCCCTTCAATCTTCACATTTTCTTCTAGATATGCAATTGCTCTACCATGCTGAGCAACCGAAAAACCATCCTAGGCTGAGTTTGCATTAGAATTAACACATGGAAACAAATTGTAAATAGAAGTACAAAAGGACACTAAACTTCATTCTGACGCATCTTAAGTTATTAGCGCGTAAAATCACTAAATAAAAATGGAAACAAACAAACATTATTTAAGTTTACAGTGATGCTTTAACTCCAAGTCTAAGAACATGTATTCAGAGGCTATAGGAATTTGCTATAAATGGTGGCTGTAAATGGTGCTTCAGTGTTTTGCTCTAAACAGACTTGACTGTGAATTCTCAAGATTGTGCTAGCTCTGCGACTGTTCGTTAAGTTATGATTGGCAGAGTTACAACAGGAATCCTTATACTCTACGATTCTCCTTCCCTCTTTTCAGGTGTGAACCACCGTGCCCTGTAAGTTGTATTTCGCTGGCTCTTGTCCTTGAAGAATGGCTGCCCTGCCCTGTGAAAATTGTTCCCTTCACTACCACTACAGCCAAGCCAACCCGCCTCTTGAAGCTAGTTGTATGCTGCTCCTGATTATGCTTGGAAAAGTCTCCCTCGATCTCTTCATGCTGCGAGTTAGAAGACAGAATATAAAAGAGAGTTTTATGGGATATTTTTGCATTTCGCTGGCTCTCATAGATTTCACACTTCTGATGAATATAGCATTCATTTCCTATTTTAAGGACTTTGCACTTTGGGGTGTTAGATTTACTAAGTATCACATTTGTTTGTTCACTCAGATAATTTCTTTTACCTATGGTGTCTTGTATTACCCAATTTATCTTGTGGCTGGTCTAGATTATTACATGACTATAAATCAAACCTCTCAGCCACCAAACATAAGTCAAAGGTTATTTTATATACTTGCTGTAGTTCTTATATGGATTTCAGGATTTTCTTATATTCTTCAAGTTCCAACTATCTATGCAAAATTCAGAATACAAAACAACTTTTTTGTCTACCAGTGTCCTTTATACAGCAGTGATCAGAGTTACTGGATATCATTAGCCATGCTGTTTGTCATATGCATGGTTTTTGTGACTTGGTGGTCAGAAGCTATAGCTATAGTGCGATCAGTCAGGATGATTTCTTTTAAAAATAAGGCTGTTCTGCTCTTTTCATATATGTCTGATTACAATCACACTGGTTGCAAGAAACAACTGTTGACAAGACTTCTCATCTGCTTTCTTGGTACTTGGGCACCTTTTGTCCTCCTTCAAGTGATCCTCTTGTTGCTTGGGGCTCAGATTCCAGCTTACATGGAAATGAATGTTCCCTGGTTGTACTTTATTAACAGTTTTCTTATCGCAACAGCATACTGGTTTAGGTGTCATGACATTAAGCTGACAGAGAGGACTTGGTCTGTAGATCCATTTGTCAGCTGGAAATTCTGCTTCATCCCATTCAACAATCAAAATACAGAGCAAGCTGAAAAGCCAGGCACAGTAATCGTAATCTGTTAATGAGCTGCTGTGTGAAAAGAATGCAAATAAGTACTGTGGAACAGAGGTGTCTAATGATTGTGCTATTTTGATGTCTTTTATGAACCCATCTTGCTGGATAATATAAGGATACATCTCCAGAACTGCAGCCTGTGAAGAAACTGTCACCAACATTTGCCAATGGATAATGGAATATTGCACTGTTCTCTAAGCTAAGCTTTACAGATAGATGGGGACTTTAATGCACAGCAAAAGTTTTAATTAAATTTATAATATTTATAAAAAAATATATAATATTCATAAAAAGAGTTGAAATTTTGGATGAAGATAGCCACTACTTAACAGCAACAAAACATGCCTGATTTTACTGTTAAATGTTAATCAGTTTCAGATTTGTTTCAAACATAAAAAAATAAAATCATCAGTAACCTAAAGACAATTGTTGTCTTCTGTTACAGATTTAAACAACTTTATTAGTTATCAGTTTGTTCTAGAAAAGCTTAGCAATTTCCTCTTTAAAACTGACGTTTCTATCTCTTCTAAAGAGGGAGGAACAATTAAAAATTAAAGTTAACTTTATTGTCTTCACCTCACCAAAAAAGTAACTATAATGAGGCAAATAGAAGAAGCAGAAAGCTTCCACACCAAAATGAAGGGTGACCGTTTAAATGTTTTGTAATCATTCCCTGGAACTAACTCCGACATTCATAACAGGTTGCAAAAGGGTCGCTTGATGCCTTGTCATTGTCAGACACCGGAAACTGGGCTAGATGGACCTTTGGTCTGACCTAGTATGAAAATTTGTAAGTGTGTTGTAAATGAATAAAGCTGTGGCAGTGTGTACAGAACAACACAATACATTATGGCAGTGCAATATAGCCACTAAGCTCGATTGTTCAGGAAATGTATAAACAGCAGAAGTAGGTCAGCATGGCCCAGTGCAGTACAGAGGTGAGATGCAAGCTGGAATGAATTAGGTTGTGTAGTGAAAGTAAGAACGTGAATTAGTGGGGCTAGTTCACTTGGAAAGCAGGATCTATTAGTTTGGTTGGAACACCACACCAGCAGTGTATCTTTACCCAGCACTGCACTGTCACACTGACATCTCCAGAGTTAGTCCCCCAGTCTAAATACTGTACTCAGACTGAGGGAAACAAAGGAAAAGTGATTGCCCATCATGTCACAGCAGACTTGTAGAAGAGCTAGATATGGAACATGGGGAACAGATCCTTAGCCAGCTACTGTATAAACAAATTGGAGGAGCTTTGACACTAGCTGCCCAGTCTCCTGAGGCTGTCTCGTGTCTTGCTCTCTAGACAGTGCTGCTTCAGTATACTCAGAAGTGGAGTTGAGATAGGAGGCTGATTCTTTCTATCCTTTTCATACAATGTGTGTATGCATTTTTTAACTTGGGACAATCTCCTAAAAAACAGGCAACAAAGACCTTTATAAACTCGTTATTTGTGTATCCCCCTGCATATGTTCTCAACTGATGAAGAAACTGAAAGCAAATTAGGTGGTGCTATTAAGAATAAAAGGTTATTCTGCATTTTAAATGTCCCATGTATCGCCTTCCCCATATCTGAAAAATGCATGTCAAAAACCTCAATTGTGCAGAATAAGCTGCACCTTTATTTTATATATTAAAAAAATACAGCATCCCTGAAGCACACAAAGTATTTCACAATTCTTCTTCAAAAAATTGCCGATTTCCATATTCGCACTATAGATTCGTTAAGCTTCTTACCTGAGCAGGCCCTATGGTGTATATTCTTAGGGCTAAGTGGAAAAAAAAAGGAATTGCGTGTACTTCCTTCTCTTAATTTCCTGGCTGAAATGGAGTCTGATATCAGGCTACATTACTTGAAACCATTGTTTCATTTCCTTACTCTATTTATTTTCTGCTTTTTATTATTCTCTGATTATTTTGCAGGCAGGAAGGTTGGGGGTGAATTTTAAGACTGGACTGATGCACATTTGGCCCCCAATACAGTTTTTCTCCTGTGCCCTGAGATGCCAGCATTTTGGACTTGTTGCCTCACTTCTGGGCTCTTTCGTCCTTACCTCTTATTTTCTCATTCTGAGAGTTTCTCTGGATGCCATCTCCAGGATTTCTCAATTTTTGAAACTGCTTTTTCTGCAGAAGACTTATTGTGGCATTAGATACTAACTCAAGGCTTCTGTTTTCTGGGTGAGTCACACACATTCCTAATAAATTATATTTGTTGTTCACTTGTGGCTCTGACTTTGAAACAGAGGGAGATCAAGTTAAAAATATTCCTTCTCCATAGATCTTTCTGACTGGTGTCAGACCAGAATACAAAGAGCTCCACCCAGCACTGTTTATCAGCCAGCACTGCTCCTGCCCAAAGGGTTTTGACTCTACTAGTAGCTAGTTCATCAATCTTGTCCTAAGGGAAGATATTCCCTTCCCCTGCCATGTACACCCTGCCACCCTCTTCATAACTCCAAGACTTCAAAGCACAGGGAAAAGTAGGAACCAGACCATCAAGTTTCAAGGCATGTTACTAGAGGGACCTCACAGCAGCTTGCAGAGAGCTAGGCATGGCTATACTGCCTCCTCTAAACTCCAAGCACTCACATTTCAGTGTGGGCTCTGTTAAAATTGGGCAGACAACACCCCACAACCCATTAGCAACTTTACCTTCCACAGAACTGGCTGAATGGGAATCCATGAGGATGGCTGAGGGTAAGAAATGGAAACTATACCTCTAAGATGGAACAACTCAGTTCCCAAGGCTATGCAGGAACCTCAGTGCCAACAGCAACTTAGAGGAGCACTGCTGGCCCCTTGCCACCTTATGCATCCAACTTGACACTGCCACTGGCATTATATTTGGGGTGGGTGTCTGTTTTTCTCAGCCCAGAGCCCTATAGCATTTATCACTCAATACTACCTTGTGAGGTTTAAGGTCTAGCACTGATCAAGAAAGACTAAGATTCTTTGGCCCAATACCATCTCTGAATGGTTAGGTTAGCCTTATTTTCCTGAGACCGTGGTTCTCAACCTTTTGAGACTCATTCAAGAAACTCCTCAGAAAAGGCCAGCTCTTTGAAACACAAGAATTGCTCTTATTTTTCCATAGTCAAAAAAATGAGTGACAACAGAGAATTCAGAAAGACCACAGTTCGTCAGAATGTTTTTGCCATCTTTGGGTTTTATTTTGTGAATCATCTGGAGGTGTTTATACACCTAAGTGCTGATATTGCATGGCACCCTTAAAAGGATCTCACAGCACCCCAGGGTACCATGGTACCCTGATTGAGAACCGCTTTTAAACAATCATTTTGGTCTATGTAATATGATAGAAACGTATGTATTATACGTAATTGGTGCACTATATCCTGGCCCATCAAATCCATGCTTGGACCAGAATGGTTCTGGATTGTTTGACCCTCAAGGTAATAATAACAAGAAGCTGTACTGTCAAATTCATTTTATTACAGAAACTAAATCCACCTCTCAGGACTTTTCAATGAGAAAATGCTCCATCAGGCCTTCTCTGTCAGCTGGGGGGACAATAGCAAAAGGTTCCTTCATATCACAGATAGGTTTTATAGCAGTTATCTCCCCATTCCAAAAAGGGAGGGGAGGTTGTGACCAATTTTGGACCTAAGAAAGGTCAGCTTGTTTACTTCTTGGCTTAAGTTCAAGGTGATAAATGAAGCAATATTAATTCTCTCTCTACAGTGGTGGGATTGGCTCATATATCTTAACTTACACATTTTGTCCATAAGGCCCATGTACAAACAGTGCCTTTTTCCTAGTGGGACAGGACCAATATTTGGTCACTTAGACCCAAAGGTCTTCACTAACTGGATGGCTGCTGCACCTTTTAGAAAACTAGATATTGCAGTTTACCTCTTTCTTGATTAATAAGAGAAGCCACATAGAAATAGACTTCTGGGAGTCTTAAGGACACAATGAGACATTTTCCTCCCTGGGCAGTTTCATTGGTCAGCAGAATTTGGCCTGAACTCCACTGCAGATGCGGTACTTGGTTGGATCAACTCCAGACTGAAAACAAGTGCTTGCCTTCCCATTTCCCATTTTAATAATAATAATCTCTCTCTCAGCTGGAAGGAAGAGAACATATGGATGAACTTCAGATACAGGGTCTTTAGGCAGTAGAGGTGCCAAAGTTCCACATCAATGTCCTAAAGTTTCGAGCAGCATAGAGAGCTTGCAAAGTATTTATCCATCATATGCAAAGATACCATGTTCAAGTTCTGGTTAAGTTCCCTTTTGAATAAGGGAGGATGCTTTAAAATCTAAATAAATAACAGTCTTAAAGCACTAAAGAAAGAGCCTTGATTTGGTACCATCCTAATCCCAGAAAGATTAAGAACATACATAAATTTAAGGTAGTGTTAGAGGGATATAGCTGTGATGGTCCAGGAATTATGCAGATGGCAAGGATTTCTTTGGGTGGTATCTTTTATTGGACCAACTGCATAGATGGGCTAGAGGTAGAGATAGACAAGCTTTTGAATGGAAGACATTTTCTTTAGCACCTTTTGAAAGCTTGTCTAACTCTAGCCCACCTATGCAGTTGGTGTAAAAAAAAAAAAACACCTAGTGGCTACGATGGTCGCAGGGTTTACTACCTTCACTGGTAGGATGGTTGAAGAGAACTATTACAACTATTCTCTTATATTAAATCCCATTTATTTTGCTGCCCTTTTTTTTTTTTTTTTTTTTTAAAAATAAGGTATGCAAAAAAAATTTCAGTAGACTGGTCTGTAAAAGTCCTCAGATGGGACTGAAATTTCTGAGTTAAAATAGTTTTTATAATATTTTCAGGGACTATATATTTTAATTGATTTTTCTCTTGCCTTGTTTAATCTTAAGCACATGAGCAGTCTCACAGAGTTCATCTAGACTGCTCATGCTAAGCAGATGCACACCTTGTAGGACTGCCATCCATGATTACGTCAAACGACGAGAAGGAGGAAGTAAACCAACAGTAAGCAAAGGTCAGGGCTAAAGGAATGCAGCCAGAATTTCTAAGGGGAACCTAATTTATAGGTAATTTTAAAAGAAAAAATTAAATTGCGTAGCTCAGATGAACAGATGTTTTTTCTCTCTCTCCTGTTCTCATAGCTTTGATTGCTTTTAATTTTAAAGTGAAATAAAAATCAAAATAGACTAGTGGAAGTAGCATTTATTTTTGAAGCACTGAACTCACAATACAATGTCAGTCATATAAACTATATAAAGTTAAATGATGCTGTAGTTGGTTAATTATCAACTCAGACCTGCAGAGAACAATATTATCACACAAGAATGTTCAAGAAGAAAAAGATGCAGATAACAAAAGGTGCAATTACAAGCAAATGTAAGCAGCATAATAAGGTGCTTTAATTCAACATTTTTATAATCAGATTATCCATTAACATATAGGTTAAAGATAAATTTCACTTCATCTACAGACCATTACAAACATGAGAATCTAAGATTCATTCACATGCTAGTTGTTAATAGGAAAGTGCTTTTTCTTTAAAAAAAAAAGATACACAAAGTGAAGATAATTTTTTTTACATAGATCACTGTGTGCTCTTCAACTGTAAAATTTAACTTAATTTTCAGGTTACCATTTACATTATTACACTTTAATTATAGACAAAAGATGCAAGTGCTGAAGTCAATGGTGTATATTGTAAAACTTCTTGAAGATTCCAGTATATCACTCCATAAGGATACATGACCACATATAAATCTCTCTCTCATATATTAACTTCGTATTTATTTCCTTAACATGTCAAAGTCTAATTTTCATTTTAATATATTAGTTAGTCCCACATGGTGCTTCACTCACCCACAATGTGCCACTCTATAAGGTATCAATACATAGCTGACCAATTTTTAGATGCAACCAAAAGAAGGAGCAAAATTTTAAGCACATGGAAAATGTTTGGGGGAAAATCTGTTTAAAAATAAAGTGAAATGCATCACATTAGCAGAATTATCAGTAAATAGTTGAATTTTAAAAAACAGTGCATTAGGAAGAGGCAGGATTTTAAAAATATATGGTTTGATATATTTGGCACCACAGTCACAGCTTCAACCCTTACGCTGGCTTAAATAGTAAGGAAACATTATACTTAATGTGAAAAGTATAACATGTAGAATGACCTTTAACCATTTAACAACAACAAAATTTCTAGGTGCTACTATTTCTTGCTTGGGAGGTTATAGGGTAGGTCCTGCTCTAGCACATTTTTGGATGTAGTTTTTCAGCCTACATAAAACTAGACACCCAGTGAAAAGGGCTGGTAAAATATTTACAAAAGCAATTAAAAACCAGCAAGTATCTCAAATGTATTCATGCACCAGGCATTTTAAAAGATCATCAAGTAAGAAACCTTTAAGGAGTCCACAGGTCTGCAAATGAAAATACTCAACTTTATCTCACCTATTGTCACATGAAGTTAAAATTATTTCCCACAACATACATTTTTGACACCCCTGTAGAATAAGGTTAATCTAATCTCTAGTCCAGTAGAAATTCTGATTCAGTATTTTCCAAAATTGAATTAAAACTACAGATTGAATTGTACGAAGTTGGGTAAGAATGCTGACATCTATTAATGAGATTTAAATTCAATATCTGTAGTTAAATTCACACACTTATTTCTGTCCTGAGGTGGCAGCATTCTTATATTTGCTACAATCATTCTAAAGCTAAGTGTCAGTTTTACAAGAAAACACAATGTCAAGGTAAATCAAATATTAATTCACTAATATTACATAAACACCACTTTTAAAATAGGACTTGGAAAACTTTATACTTCACTTCTCTTTCACCACTATTCTTTGGGAAAGGGTGTCAGATAAGATTCAACTTTCAGGCTGTCAATGCATCCACTGAACATTGGCAATGTAATTCTCCACAATCACCTGGTCAGTTGAAGGAAACGTTTAACGGTGGAACAGTAGCTCTCTCATGCCCATTTTGTCCTTTGCTTTTTATATAAAGAAAGCAATCAGAATACTGAAAAACTGCTTACTAGAAACTAGATTGAGATCAGAGAGCCGGTTCTTTCAAAATGCCAGATAGAGGATAAGAAAAAATATATATTTGCGTTAGTGGCATAGTGCAGAAGTGACCTTTATTCCATTGCCTGTCCAAAGAAAAGGTTCAGCCTGCTCATTGTTTGCCTTTTCCTTATGAGTGCTACTGGGAAGTCATAGTACCACCTCTTTGATCTAACAATGTAGTCTTGCACAGCAACAGAACTGCAGCTGTACTGCAGGAACCAACAAGAAGGCCCCATCATGAAGGCAGTAACTATACATGTGAAAGTTGCCAAAGAAAATTGCTGCCAAATAAGTAATCTGCTTTTCCCATTATTTTTGTGCTTGTGCCAGCAATTAAAGCTCTCCTTTCACAAGCCATGTACCACTCAAATGTTGTCCTCCTTTATCCTTCATTACTACAAACATCACATGCATTTATGATAATGAAAGCTCTACCCTATTCAAGAACCTTCTGCATCAACCTCAGCATTAAGCAGCAGAGGAATTGATTCAGAGAGGGACAGTGCAAATTTGCTCCTGACTGAAATACTCTATTTACCTTTTAACGCCAGATAAAATCACTTGGCACTGTTTGATAAAATTTCATTCTTCGTACTAATGCTATCCAACCACCTCTCCTGGATCAGACTAGAAACTGCAGGCAGACCATTCCATCATGCCATATATTTTTGTGCTTCTATCCCTACCACTTCATCAGTAGGATGAAATACCCTGGTTTATAATCTATGAACAATGCAATCCTTTTCAAATTCACCTAACATGACTTTTCTTGTTGCATATTGAACATTGTATTTATTTAATGTGCTAGCTTTATACTATGACTATATATATTTGTGCTCAAATTATATACATTCTTCCAGGTAGAAAGTTTGATGAGATTTTTTATTTCTAGGAGCTGGCAAAACAGTCATTTTGGAAAACTTGGCAGCAAACGGACATTGGAAGTTAACCTAACATTTTCACTCCAGATCTGTTCATAACACTGAAAAGCTGAATCCACAATACTGAAAGAGCTATCAGCTTGCTGAAGACTCTGAATACGCTTCTTACATATCACCCTTCTACAAATTGATGTTTGAAACCATTTGCTCCACAATAGCCTTATGAGATCAGTAAAGAATATATTCAGCATGCAGACAGGCCAACTGAGAGCTTAACAAGGTAACCAAAAGTATAACATTTTGGGGGAAGATCCTGAATAAACCCAGAAGTCTTAGTTGCCTATTTCTTGTTCTAGCTACTGCACAAGATGCACTGGTACATACAGCCTGGGAAGTGTGCTTTTGCATCGTGAATACACAGTTAGTAGTAATGTTGGTAGAAGAAATATGGCATAACTTAAAACCTCTCCTGAACACTGGTGGAATACAAGGAAAGGAAAAATTTAATCAGCACCATTACTCTCAGAGAATGAGGGTAACATCTTTATCTCACAGCTACCTTCGACAGCTGGATATAAACATCCAAATTAACCTAGCACAAGTGCAAGCTTGCACACAGCAACACCCTGCTTGTCTAACTGTAGCCTCCCTGCGTCCATGCCTAAGGACACAGGTTCCCATGAACCTCTGTCCATAAATCTTAGCACATATTACTGGTATACTGGTGCATACCACAGTACTCCAGCTTACACTGGAAAGTGTGGCTACCTCTGGATTAATTAAGGTAGGAATGAGTTAACTGGTTCTGGGACTTTACAGAGCTAATTAGCCCACTGGAAGCATTTTCCAAGAGGAGGCTACACTGTTCCAGGTTTCAGAGACAGCCCACCCAGGGCAACACAGCTTTCCAAGGGTAGCAAAAACTTGACTGTTCTTTGAGGGTGACTACCCCGGGAACAGTGCTAGAGCTATATCAGTACCCCAAGTGATTTTGTCTGCATCCTCTAAGTGGGCAGGCTCCTGCCTCAGTTTAGGAGGACCCTGGATTTTATCTAGTTCCTTCCTTTAAACCAGCATGGGCTTAGAGTCATTCCAGCTCCAGGTTAGAGGGTTTTCTATTAGGAAGGTTAAGGGGTTTGAGCTAATACACGGAAATAAAGAACACACACCCCCACCCCCACCCATATAGCTAGCTCTGAAAAACCAGAACAAGCTTCATGAGCATAGGAATTAAACAAAGTCAAATTCTTCTTTCATAAATCAGATTCAACTCTAGAGTTGAATCTGCGTAGAGCAACATTTCAGAGTGTCATTCATATTTCAAGAAAAATACCAACGTCTTACCTCAATAAAAACTTTTTCAGTTAAGAAGTTAGTGAAATTCTCCTTTCCTTTAAAAAATACAGGCAAGTATATTCTTCAATTACATTTTAAAGAAACAATGTAAAAGAAATGACCCTGTAACCACCACACAGTCATCACAAAACAGTTGGAACACTCCTTTCCTAAGCTCAAACTCACCCAGGAAGTGGAATGTTAAATATGGTTCAAATTACAGCTTATTTCACTATGTCATAATCCTCCAAAAATGAGAGAAGACTTTTAAATGTTACCACTGATATGACTCACTAAAGCTAATTTGTAGTGCACAATTCAGCAGTACTTTCATGTCCTCATGTCTGACTTCATTAAAGAGCTGATTCTGTACTCAATGAAGTCTTTGGGAGTTCTGCTGACTTTACTGTAGGGATGGGCAATTATTTTGGCTGGAGGACCACTTAATGAGTTTTAGTGAGCTGTTGAGAGCCACACGCATAAAATTAATGGCGAAGCCATTTTAACACAGTTATAGATAAACGAATCATATGCTAAAAGTCAAAGATTTACTATAAGATACATTATTTCAAAAATATTTTTGTCATTTTTTTGAGTAGTGTATATCTAGGTAATTGCAAAATAGCTCAAAATAAAGTCTCTCTCCCAAGGGAACCAAAACCAGCCAGCAGGACACTCAGCCAAGGGAAGATGTCCTCACTGCCACCACTCAACCACCCCCCAAATCACAACAGGGCTCCTGCTTCAGCCTGTACTCTGACATGCCCCTCAAGAGTTGCCTACACCCCAAATCCACCTGCCCTACCCCTTCCCATCCACACTTGCCCCTACAAAGCCTGGGGAAGCCCAGCAGCTCCTTCCAGCCTGCCCCAGCTCCCTGCCAGGGCCATGCAGGCTGCACCTACCTACAGCCTGGGGGTCCCCTTCCCCTAGGACAGGGGCAGGCAATTATTTCGGGCGGAGGGCCACTTACTGAGTTTCGGCAAGCCATCAAGGGCTGCATGACAGGCAGCCAGGGCAGATAAATATTAATTTTCTAAATTTTTTAGGGGCCCCACAGGCCGGATGGAACAACTTGGTGGGTCGCATCTGGCCTGTGGGCTGCATTTTGCCCACCCCTGCCCGAAGAGCTCAGCATCCACCCAGTGTCCCCTGCAGCTCCAACAGAGGCTGGAGCCAGAGCTACTGCTTGCGCTGCCTGCCTGTGGGTCAAATGGAATCAGCTGGCAGACTGGATACAGGCTGTGGGCCGTATTTTGCCCACCCTTGCTTTACTGGATATTGGATGATTCGCAAATGCCCATTTTGCTAAATGGACCATAGGAAAGTAGGGCTAGAGGTCATTTAATCCACCCCCTGCTCAAGGCAGGATCATCCCTGACTAAACCATCCCAGTCAAATGTCCGTCCAGCCTGCTTTTGAATGTTTGCAGGGATGGAGATACTACAACTTGTCTGCATATCCTGTTCCAATGCTTAACCACCCGAGTCAGAAAGTCACTCCTAATCTCCAATTTACATGTCCTCTAAGGTAGTTTGAAGGCACTGCTCCTGGTCCTATCCCCTACAGCCAGGGAGAAAAGTTTACCTCCATCCTCTTTATAATCTTCACGTATTTGAAGACTATTATCAAATGTCCCCTCAATCTTCTCTTCTCCAGACTAAACCTTAGTTCCTTTCAGCCTTTCCTGCTAAATCATGCTTCCCAGGCCCTTAATCATTTTTGTTGCTCTGTGCTGGACTCTTTCTAATCTGTCCACATCCTTCTTCCAGTGTGGGTCCCAAATTGGACACAGCACTTCAGGCCTCATCAGTGTGAAATACAGCAGAAGAATTACGTCCCTTGATTTATAAGAGACATATCTGTTAATACAACCTAGCATGCTGTTGGCTTTTTTTTTTTTTGGGCAACAAGAGCATACTACTGGCTCATATTCAGCTTATGGTCCACTGTAACTCCCAAGTCCTCCTCTGCAGCCTAGCCAATCATTACTAGTCTGTATTTGTGCATGCAATTATTTCATCCCAAAGGCAGGACACTGCACTTGTGCTTGTTCAGTTTCATTTGACTGATTTTAAGCCATTTTCCCAGTCTCCCCAGGTCATTCTGGATCCTAGCCCTACCCTCTAGAGTGTCTGACTCCACACAAATTTGCAGTGTTATCTGCAAATTTACTAAGCATGCATGCAAACCTGTTATCTGCATCATTAATGATGTTAAATAATTCCACACCCAGAACAGACCAGTGGGGAACCCCCCTTGATACCTCTCCCCGCAACTAAACATTGAGCCTTTGATGACTAGTCTTTGAACAAGAGGATTCAACCAGTTATATATCCACTTTCCAACACTTTCATCTAGTCTGTTTCCTTAGCTTATTAATGAAAATGTCATAGGAGAGAGTTTCAAAAGCCTGTCTCCCACCCCCAAAATCACATCTGCTGCTCTCCCCACATTCCTGCACACCCCCCTCCCTGTGCCAGCTGGCGGCAGGGCAGAGCCCCCACTCCCAGTGCTGATGCGGGTGCAGCAGCACTGGGAACAAGGGCTTCTGCTCTACTGCTGCCTGGGGCCCCTGGGCGCTCATGGCAGAGCCTCCCTGTGCACTGTGGGGCAGCAGCCCCACCCCCATCCCTCCCCACTTGGCACCTGCGCGGGAGTGGGTGCAGTGCAGCTCGGCAGGGTGCCGCGCGCTGTCTGGGAGCTGGGGTGACACCAGCAGTCAATCGGAGCCCGACACCACTCAGCCCCAGCTGCCGCAGTTCCCAGGCAGTGCGCAGCAAAGCCATGCTGCACCTGCGCCATGGGGCAGCTGCTGTGCAGGTGCCAAGCAGGGAGGAACAATCCCTGCTGCCCCCCACTGCCCTGTGCTGTGCAGGGGGGGCTCTGCCACAAGTGCCCAGAGGCCCCAATCGCCGCTCCTGCAGTCAGTGAGTGCAGGGTTGTTTGTTTTTTAAAGGTGCCAGGACTAGGTTGGGGCTGGGTGGGGGCTTCTCCTGTGGCTTCCTCCCCCTGGGGAGAGGCAGGCACAGCCAGAGGAGCCATGGAAGAACCTGCAGCTGCCCAGTTGTGCCTGCCTCTCCCTGGCTGACCCGAATGTCTCCGAATCAGCACCGAATCTTCTGAAGCTGATTCGGCCGAATCAATTCAGGGCAGTGATCTCTGAATCGAATCACTGTCCTCCGAATCGAATACTTCCCTATTTGCACAGACCTAAAAAACTAACATATTTTGTCACCACAATGAAAAATAACCTAGAAAAATCCATTTTTCAAACCTGTTACATTACTGTGTTTATACCTTGTGCATAGCACTGGTAAACCCAACTCAAGGAGCTCTTCAGATACAAAATGTGAGAAAAATCTGCAGAACTTTAATGATAATATTGTGCCTTTGTTTCCATATAATTATTATATGCTTTGAGTATGATATGTTTTTCCCTTAATTGAGGAAGCAGATGGATCTTGCTCTGAATTTGTACCTCATTAGTATTTTCTCATATTAACTGCTCTCTGACCTGCAGTGGGAAGGTTTTATCTATGTCATTTGATTGTGTATCCTACCCTATCAATCAAAATGAAAGTTTTCTGTTTAGTGACATGGCATGTGAGGAGTCTGTAAATCTACTTTTTTTAGTATAAGAGTACAGTGACACCTCACAAACACAGCTGCAACATTTCAGTGTATAGAAGAGCTTGAAAATAATATTAGGATTAACATTGTTTTAAAAAATGATGCTGTATTTTCAAAGCAGTCTGCTAGATCTAGCCCAAAAAACCCATTATCTCTAAGGAAAGCCTCATGATTAAACCCTAGCTCCTTTAAAATTTACAAGTTTGCTTAGCTTAAATGATTTCTACAAATTGTATATTTGTTTCTTGTAGTTTAAATCTCTTTAAAATATTTTTGACTGAAACTATAGCTCAAAAGTGCAAAACCAACTTTAAAATAAATCACAATTACTTACACAGGAATAATTAATAATATCTCAGAATGAAAATCTTTACAGTCCTAAAGTCTACTCAGAATTCAAGAGGAATAATTTATTTAAAATTATTTTAAAGAAAACCAAAGCTCCTACTTTTGTTTGATCAACTGCATATATTAAGAATACAGACTTTCTGTAAAATAAACACTATTCAAGAGTCATTATCTTAAATCTAAAGTAGCTAATGATGAGAGCTCAGGCCAGTGATTTAGAACTAAATTCCTAACTGAAATGGTGACAGCAACTCTCTCCTTCAAATAATACTGATCCAGGCCTGGATCCTGTCAATTCTTATGGACATGCTTTACTTAAAGCATGAGTAACCCTATTAAAATTAGTAACACTAAGGGCTTCAAGCGAAGAAAGAGTAAAACATTGGCAAGATATTTTTTTTTTTTTTTTTTTTATATATCAGGGACTCCCTGCAGACACCTCCAGTGTCAGCAGCAACTTTTACAGGGGGTGCACATACACCTACGTGCACCCCCTACACGTCATGCCTGATATGATCTAAAAGGATTATGGCTACTGTACACCTACTAAAATACTCCCTTTAGTAGCTACCATTTCTTTTCTGTAGCTGTTTGCATCTGACGTTCTAAGGGACCTTATCTGTCCTTTCTAGCAGTTAATGACTGATACCAAGAATAGGAAAGTTGGATTTTATTCCAAATGCTCCTCTGGGTACAGAATAAATTCATGAAGTGGTGGAATAGGCTTGGTCTATATTTGAAAAGTTTCTTCCAGCATAACTATGGCTAGAAGGATGAGGGGATTTTGTTATAAATCTCCCTCCAGACATTACATTTGTTGTAGGATATATGCGAGTGTCCCACAACAAATGGTAACATGCCACAAGTTAAAAGGAATTTGACCCAGGACAAAAGTGGCAGATCCATGACAAAGAAGTTGCTGTTCAAACCACTTCTGTCATGTCCTGGTGTGTTGGAGATGCTCAGCCCTTGCTGCCACCAGAGACTTGACGGAGCGCAATTCACCTTTGCTGCATAACAGTAAGGGTGAGGGGGATGCCTGCAGCCTGGGAAGTTTAAAGGGATAATGGTGATAGCACATACAGTCCATTAAAGTATCAAGACCTTTGAAAGGCTCCCTGGAAACCCAAGAAAAGCTGGGCTTTCAAGCTGCCTAGGAACCCGGCTTGCAAGCCTATCAGTGAGCCTGCCTGCAATTCACTGATAGGCTCCATGGCTGAAGAGCATGCCAGGGACCTCTGAACAGGTGGTCCACAGTGCTTGTTATTTTGGAGTGCTACAAAATTTGTAACACTACAATAATAGTGTTACATATCTATATACATGATCTTGGGAGCCACTCTAATTAAAATTCCCTCAGCATCTTGTGTATTCAGCATCTTGTACTTCAGAATGGTTGTGGGAGCACTTTAACTAAAACTCATTCAGCAAGGTTTAGTTAAAGCACCCTCGCTGCCATTTTGAAGTGCCGGGATGCTGAATACACATGACAGCGAGGCTGCTGGAGCGTTCTAATTAATTGAGTTTACTCCATCATGTTCTAACTGGAACATCTTAGAGCAGGTGTACTGCATGTGTATTAAGCATGTGTACAGGCACCCACCCATAATGTCCAGAGGCAGCCTGATGGGATTTCGGGGCTTTTCGTTGCTTTAACGATGCCAACACAGCTGAAGCAGTAAAACATTTAGATGTAGGCAAGGCATACATTTTCATTTCTTCCATTCATTAAGCTTTAAAGCAGAAGTAGTGAGTGTTCTGTGGTTATGCAAGCTCTATAAAGAATTTATATATAACGTGTAGTACATCAAGAGTAAGAAGGAGTGTGTGCTTAAACCAGGATAACTGTGAGGTTCTAGCAATCCCTTAATAATTCAGTCCTGTATAACAACAAACTGAAGAAATGATTCTGAAATCTGTCCAATAAATCAAAATACTAATGAAGTTAACATGCACAAAAAATTACAGTAAACTGTAGGTCTAGGAGATAGTATTCACAATACAAGACCACATTTTCCTAACATACCAGATGTCATTATTAATTCACAGGTAATCCATATTCTTTGTCTGAATATTATAAAGTGTACCACCACAAACAAAAGATTAAAAATTAGCCAGTAATATTTTTGTATAAAAATAATAAGCATTTTGATAAAACCATAGCTGAGATAGCTGTAGTTTTCTACTGGCTCATCAAACCAGAAAGCAGAAATGCTTTACACCAGAACTCAACATCTCCCTCATTTTACCCTCAAAATTAACCATATTAACTAAAAGAAAGGGAGACTGATCTTCTGTACATCAATGGATGTGGGGGAAACAAAACAACAACAAATCTAGAAAGTGCTTAGAAAAAACCCAGCTGCTAGCTCTTTTCTAAATCCTTTGGTGCTCTGGGTTCAGAGCTCTCCTCATACACTTTGCATTAATAAGTAACATGTGCAACCCTAATTTACAGCCTTAGGGGTTGATACAAAATATCAGAACTGAAATCTCTGTTTTATGAAGTTCAGGAGATTCTAATGAAAAGCAGGAGATCTAATCTTGACCTCTAGAAGATACCTGCAAAAATCTGTTGAGAAAAACAGTGCTAGATCTACCTAAGGAAAATGAAGGACAGATTTTTTTTTCTGCAGTTTTAACTTGCTCAACCTGCTGTTGTGGTTCAGTGGTAGAATCCTTATCTGCCATATGAGAGACCTGGGTTTGATTCCTGGACGTGCACATAGCTACAGCCATCAAGGTACCAAACATCTGTACTTGGTCTGGCCTTTGGATTCTCTGTCAATGGTCTAAAGGGAGATTGAAGGTCTGGGCAGCCTTCACACTCCTGCCTAAGCATGTGTGTGGAAGGTCCTGGTGATCTCTGATGCAAACACGATGATCCAGAAGGACTGAGAGTTGCCTACTACTACTACTACTACTACTACTACTACTACTACAGGGTCATTTGTTAAATAGGAGCCACACACTGACAAACTTTCCTTTCAGCCCATGTGTGTGTTGACTCCTTTGGTCTAAGTTACCTAGCAGCAAGCAAAACAAGAAGTATAACAGCTTAATGCCCTCTTAGTGCATAGCAGCATACAAACAATAAAAGTAACGTATGTGCTTCTGTACTCTCTCGGAAGAGTGTCATGCCATTTGCATGTCAGTAGGTCTAGCATTGCATACATGAGGATTATGATGAATATCCTAGATTTTATAGAACGCTTCCAAACATGAACAAAACATTAAAATGGCAGAAGGTTAGCCTATCAGAGAATAGGTTTGTCAAAATTCCCTTCAAACAACAGGCTCAAGATTAAAAGAAACTCAGAGAGCACAACTAAATGCATAGCATTTTACCATAATCAGTGCTTCCACAGACTCTGTGGACTCTTCTGTTATTCCATAGTCTAAAAAACTCTCTACATGGGAAAATGTCTCTTTCAGAATATATTAACATAATTTAAATGAGGATCAGATTATGTTTAAAAAAAATCTTAAACTTGTATAATAACGAACATTTTGGGAATAGTTTAATCTACCACAACATATACTTTTGTTTTCATTAATCTGCCTCACCCTCCACTTTACTGGAATGATTCCCCAGTCTTGCTAATGATTTACCATAAGCCTGATAATTACTGGAAGGTAGGGGGGATTATATGGTATATTTGGAGCAATACTTTCGAAGTCTTTGTATGAAAAAAACTGTGTCAAAATATTACAGTAATAGTCATGCCATAGTGTAGATACTGGCTTATTACTGTATGGGTCTTTGAAAGAGAGAGGCTATTATCTAAAGCATCACATTCCCACTACGATTCCTTCAATGAGTTGATGCGTGCACAAATTTTCAGTGCAGGCCCCAACTTTATGTTCATTGCACTCATTAGGTGATCCTCTTTTAACAAGAGGAGAGCTTGTCCATCAATCTCTTGTGCTCTAAATTCATCTGCAATGTCTTGACAACCTACAAAAGAATAAGTAAGTCAGTTAGACATATGCATTAACAGGTGCAATGCCTTTGTTCACACTAGAATTGTAATTCCCAATGACTACACCTTGAGGAGTAAAAGAGTTAAACAACATGATTTTGGGACTCCTAAGCTCATCTGAGCATTATCTACACATACAGCCTCTAGCTCTAGTGAGGCAACCACTGATGAAAACACTGCTCAAGGGAAATTAAGACATCCTTGTAAACAAGACAATTGAGCGTTACTTCATTTAAAAGAAAGATCGCTGTGATCTTAGTATGCTCTGGAAGGGCTTGAAATAAAGACAGAAATACCTATTTAATAAAAGAAAGCATCATTCCTCTGGGTTTTTTCCAGCAAGAGAAGATTGCATTCATTCTGTGAGAACCATTCAAATCCCAAATAATCAGGAAACATTACTTACCTATTATTTCCAAAGCAGCTCTATTCCAGGATCCTCCTGTGCTACTCTACTGGAATACTGAAAATTCCACACTATGAATATATAGCAGAATTTCCCCTACAAAACCACTTATTACAGCCATAGATTCATGATGAGTTAATAGCCTTCATGCACAGATGGAAAGATGCTGGCATCTCAGTGAAGCAGAGTTAAAATAGTTGGAAGCCTCCCTTTAGAAGTGCAACCTCTTTATCTGAGGTTATTCCCTTCCCTACCCTTCTTTTAATACTAACATTCTTGAAAGGTAATTTGTACTCATATCATTGGTATATGCCTGTATGTTTAATATAGGAAATGGGGACATTCCATGCAAAGCTCTGTCCCAAATAATTGACAGCCTTTCCTAAGGAAGGACAATAGGAAAAGAGAATGGTCCCTTGAAAGATGTCCTGGATATCTGATAAACAGACAACCATTATACCATATTGTTTGGTACCTTTCTGTGTATGGATAATAAATTAAAGACCTTGTCTTATTTTCAATTATAGTTTAAAGCTTCTCTTTCCCCTGTGATCATATTTCTCTTGTTTTCAGATTAATCTATATATTTTCTAAATCCATTTAACTGTCCTATTTTTCTTCCTACAGCCTTTTAGATGCTTTTAAAAATTTATATTCCAGCTTCCATTCCAGATTGACTTATTTTTTCTTTAAATTTATTTTCTTGACATCTTTGCATTTTCAGCTTTTTGTCTTTATTAAGAAAGTATAAAGTGAAAGGGGAGTACTCGCTACAGAGTTTAAAAAAGAAACAAAACAAAAAACAGTGCCAACAAAATTGGGCACCATACTTCCTATAAGAACAACTGACTAATCCTGAACCCAATGGTAAACCCTTCATATTTAAATCCTATACAAGAATGAATATGTCCTCTTTTCAGTCACAAGGATAAGTTAAGTGCAACTCATCTGAATAAAACATATGGTAGTGCCCGTTAAGAGCAATCCCTGTTACCACCTACTCTTTTTCATGTCATAGTGAGTCAGAACACTGCATACCCAGAAACCCTCTAGCAGCCCCACTCTCAGCCTGGCATATATGATTAGCGTGGCCCTGCCCATCACAAAGTGATGCTGGACCAGGCTGTCCTGTGCCTCATCTGCACATAAACTTTTGGAGCATCACAGGACTGATCACATGTAATCTGGGTCATCTTCTATTTGAGGAAATATGGTAGTTAAAAATTATCCCAGGGTAGATAATACATGAATTTACTAGAAAGACTGTGAATCAATGCTACCTTTCGTGGATGTAAGACTTACCTTTATATAATCCTCGCTTCTTGTCCGAGATCAATGTCTTCTATTTAGAGTGAAATACTTTATAAAAGCCCAGACCCTACTCTACTGTCTAAACATCTATGGACTTAGCTTCCACTCATCCCAAAAGCACAAGCCTATTTCAGAAGAAAAATTTTGTTCGACTCCAAGAGATACACAGCTTTCCCATTCTTTCAATAGTCTACTGAACCTCCAAACTTTTATCTTATTCACCTTGAGGAATTGCAGGGTTCTCCTATGTCAGCAATGGGACTCCAAAGATGAGTCCTGTTCTGCCCAAGAAGATATTCTCTTAAGGGGCAGCCTTAGCTGAGTTCAGGGCCATTCAACTTTAAGCAGTCAGGCACCGCATGCCATGCAAACCGCACTGTGCTGTTCAGAAGTCCCACGCTGCACCACGTTGTACTATGCCCCCTTCTTGGGCAGAGGTAGGAAGCAAAGGTCAGAGGAAAGGGAAGCCTGGAGACCATAACTATTGGGGAGGAGCTTAGGAGCTGCAAATTAATCCCTTGTACGCTGCATATGGGCTCATGGGCTGCAAGTTGGACAGCCCCGATCATGCTGATCATGTTGAGAGCCAAATCAATTCTGCCAGCCGAGAGGGGAAATACAGCTCCTCAGAGAGCCAGTCTCAAGGTTGGACCAGATAACCCCGGAGGTTCCTTCCAGCTCTACGATTCTATGAGATGACTGCCTGAGCCACAGTCTAACTAGAAGACAACAGCACTGACTTCAGCACAAAGAAAATAGAGGGCAGGAACAGAGACAGTACTTACCTTTTGCCCAATAGCCCCATGTTTAATGCACTTACTCTGGCCATGAGAGCTGGGTGTTTGCCCTGCTTTGCCATGAAGGGGTCTGAACTTAGAAATCCCTGTTCCCATAACAGTAAACTAATCAACAGGCCATTACTAGGCAGGGCATCATTCACTCCTGTTAAAGCTGACTTACTGGGCAGCTAAGAAAGTTACGGGGCAAGAAGAATGGGAAGAAAGAGGGCAGAGCTCTGTGGCCCACTGAAGTGAGTAATGTTTTGGGAAGGAGGAAGACCTAGCCCCAAAGCTACTGTATTAAATTTTCATTTAATAAAATGAATACACACCATTGGGAGCTGGAGACAATGTTACTCAATAGTTTTTCTCCAGCTAAGGATAACTTTACACATAACGTATGCACTTTCTTAGATAGAACCGAATTGCCATAAAGCATGCATGGCTTTACTAGATCACTTCAGAGCATCCTAGACATCCTAACTGAATGCTGATTGTTCCATAGGATCAGAGAGGATCACCATTTAGTGCCTTTAAGATACCTAAAATCCACGTAAGTGCCACTTAGACACAAGAAGGGGAGAAGGATCTGGGCTGAAGCTGGTAAAAAAGGTAGTCTATGACCCAAAACAAAGATACATTTCTCCAAGAGAATTGCCCTACTGAAATATTTTTTAAAAGAATAGTTTGAAATAGCCATAAACCTGGAAGAGGGTACAATTGGTACAGAGATAGTTTAAGTTTCAATGATTAGAGATGGGAGTGGCTAGTTTAGGTGAAAGAAGAATGTTACACTGCTTCATCTAACGAGCTCAGTCTTACTACAAGCAAAACTTAAGATACCTGCACGGACAAAAGAATGTTCTTTATGGGTAGGCAAACATAAGCTAGAAAAACCTAACTGAACAAATGTAAAATAACCAGATAGTGGTGAAAATATAGCAATGAACTTTGAGTTAGGAGAAAAATTGTGTAAATAAGGAGTTAGGAATTTCACCTGAGGTATTAGAGTGTAATTGCTCAAAGTTCATAGCTATCTCTTCACCACTGTCTGGTTATTTTACATTTGTTCAGTTGGGTTTTTCTAGCACACATTTGCCTACCCATAAAGAACATTCTTTTGTCCATGCAGGTATCTTAATTATAATTATACCTCTAGTACACTGCAGTTGATTTTGTCTTCCATTATATGCATTTTTAGAGGTTTTCTGGATTTTAGAAAACCATATGTATTAAAACAGCTTTTATATCATGAAAGATCTTTATTCTTTCTAATTAATGTATAGGGAAATTAGAGCCCCTTTCTTGCTTTCTCTTCTGAATGAAGAGCAGGTAAGTAGGGAAGAGAACAGAAACAAAAGAAAAGCATAAAAGGAAGGGAGGAAATGTCTCCGATTCAATCCTTCAACCAACCTCTTGAGAGAAATCAGACTGAAAAGAGGAACACCTTTACCCTCCATCAGCTAGGGGGCTACTGCAGAGGTGGGACTAGTTCTATCAATGTGAGATTTTGGAGGGGAAACCCAGGTATGCTGAAGGAACAAGCAAGAGGAAACAAGTTATTTTTATTCTGTACCACCAACTAACGGCACCCGTGTGGTGCTACCACATTACCACTCTCCTTCACAGCCATGCTAACAGTAAATTTTTTACTGCTGGAAAACTGTAAAAAAAAACCAACAACCCCAAAACAGAAAAAAACCTTTACACTACATACCAAGCAAAGAATGTATAAAGGCCCAAACTTCATCAACTGTCCACACTGATGGATCAGCTTGCACAGCTGGTAGCAAGTCAATATTCTCTGGTAGTTTCCTTATCCTGAGTTCCCGAAGTTCACGTTCTCTTTCCCTCTCACTCTGTCGTCGCAGCCGAGTGGTCATAGCAGTTGGCACAGCATCTTCATGAGAAGCCAAATCTTCTGCAGATGGATAAGTAATTGGAAGCTGGAAAATGTAGTACAAATAAACTACAGTATTATATTTTCTTTACAACTCTTTCAATGGTGATTTAATTTTAGGCAAACATTCTACAGACCTGTCTAAGGAAGTGCTCTCGTGATGCCCCATCCGGGCCAGTTGGTCGACGCCCACGCTGTCCAAGACTTTGGCTATCTGACTTCCGATTCCAACGACTGGATTTGTCTGATGAGAATAGGCCGTATTTCTTAGCACATCTACCACTGTGCCTAAGGAAGCAAAATATTTTCAATAAAATAATAATTTGAATTCACTGATTTTTTTAAATGACATTATGTGCTTCATATAGAAATGTTACTTAAAGATGATAACTATCACAGAAATACAAGATTGTGGTAGGGATTTCAAAAGTAATTCAATTTGTCCTACTGTTCTGAGGTCAGCTCAAGTACATTCCATCCTTCCAAAGTATTTGTCTAATCTCTCCTCAAGAGAATCCATAGCTTCCTTAGGAGCCTATGCCTGTGCTTTGCCAATGCTTCTCATGTCTAATCTAAATCTCCCTTACATTCCCCTCTCAGTCTACCTTTTCCCAGACTAACTCAAATCAAATCTTTCAACATTTTGTCATGAGTCTTGTTTTCTAAGCTTTTTATTGTTCCGATTTCTCTTTTGCACCCTCCTAGACAGCTCCAGCACACCAGTGCTCAGTAGAGCAATTACCTCCTGTGCTTTGCATACAACACTCTTATTAATATATCAGAGAATGACACCTGGATCACATTATTTATTCACATGCAACTGGCGACCACTCTAACCCCGATCCTTTTCTGCTGTCCCGACGCCTAGCTAGATACTTCCTAATTTGCATCTATGAAGTTATTTCCTTCCCAAAAGTATTACTTTGCACTTTTCTTTATTGAATTTCATCTTTTTAGTTTTTCGATCGATTTGGCAGGATCTTTTTGACTTCTGACCTCATCCTCCAATATGCTTATAACTCCTCTGACCTTGTTGCCATCTTAAGCATACTCTCTAGTCCATTATCCAAGTCATAAATGAAAATATTGGCTAGTACAGGACCCAGGACAAACCTTTTCAGGACACCAATTTGATAAGCCTTTCCTATTTGTTAGCAAACCATTGATAACTACTCGTGAAATACAGATTTTCAACCAGTTGTGCCCTGTTTTACAGTTACTTCATCTAAACTCAGAAGCTTCTAAGAATGTCATGAGAAACTGTCAAGAACAGTACTGAAGTCAAGCTATATCACATCTACTATATCATCTACTATACATCTATTTAATCCATTAAGATGGTGACCTTGTCAAAAAAGGACAAAAAAAGCAAAGCGCTGGTTCCTGCATAATAAGCATTTAATCTTTTCTCCCTGCCGGCAGAATTTGCTGGAATTATAAACACTCAACTTACTTGCCTTGTGTTAGTTTAGCTTTAGATAAGAGCAGCCACACTGCAAACTAGAACTTGATCTACAATGTTCACAATGGTAATGCACTGAATCAGAAACAGAGCTAAGACTTCTGGGGATATAACCCCCAGTCTCATGCTTCCTTAAGGAGGAGATCTACTTCATAAATTCTCTCTCAGACACAGTGGGAGAACTTCTCTTTTTGTTCTGGATACATTAAAAGGACTAGTATCACTCAAACAGAAATAGCCTGCACTCACACTGAAGAGTGGCTCTGTTAACAGTAAATCAGATGTGACAGATAATTTGCCTAATAGCCTATTCTCCCTGATGAGCCAACCAATTTACATGAAAACCACTACCTCGCTAAAGTCTAAGGGTTTGTATGGGTGGAAAACACTCCAGTTAAGAGAAACAATTTAGTTATTCTTCAAGTTAACTTGCAGTGAAGTTTAAGTGCTACATTTTTCTGGTACAGTAATTCTAGCCAGATAATAAGAGAACAGAATAGATCATTTGATCTCTTTGGGTTATTTTTAAATTACAATAAAGTCCTCAGGTTCTCTCACCAATGGCACAAACAATTTAGGTAACTTACAGAAAAGGTTATATTTTCTGTAAAAAGAGATAACACAATCTGGCACCCCATCATAAATCATATGGTCCATGAAATTAAAGGCTAATGTTAAATTGTTCTTGCTTAAATTTCTGGAAAGGAGAATAAGTCTTAAGAACATAGTCTAAATATAGTCTTCAGGAAAGTATGATGGAGAAAGCAGTTACCTATCAGATGAGCTAAATAAAAGGTTTCAAATTTTCAAATGGAAAAAAAGAATTAAAGAGTCTGTAGGGCTTGCAATCCCACTTGCAGTCATTACCATTACTTTGGAAACCACTTCCCTATAAATTTTAGTATCTGAGCTAAACTTTTCTACACATACTCTTTATCCAAAAGAGTTGAAGAAGGAACTTGCTGTGAATCCCACCTACTTAGGCCATTCTTATGAGCCAACTGTTCAAATGCGGGAGCATTTTATAATCTGTATCAACGAAGAAGAATAGCCACTTCTGTCCCAGTCAGTGACGAGCAGAGGATTTTGGTTTTCCTCATCAAGAGGTATCATCTGAAATTATCTAGAACCAAAAAAACTGACAAAGATTCCTCCAGTAAATGAGCTTTGAGCCTATCATTTCGATTGCTCTGGTTTGAGATATAAAAGCACATACAAGTTGAAGAATTAGTATGAACACCACTTGTCAAGACACTATAGGAACAGAAGACCTAAACTGACATAAGAGAGGTGGCTGAAATGCAACCCCTGCTGACAAAAACAAACTGAGGGATGATTAGGAAATAAATACGACTTTATTTCCAAGATGTTCAGGAATCTGCAAGTCCACTAATATTATCTTTTTATTAACGTGACTAATTCCACAGCTTCCAAGACAAAGCGAGAAGCTCCTAACTTTGAGGAAGCAATATCATAAAGGGAACTATTTGCTAAGAAATTTCTTTTCCCTCATCAACAATAGCTGACAGGGAGACTCACGAGCCACATTATATGTTCTTAATAATCTCTCAGAACCTAAGTAATACAATCACAGAAATCAGAGATAGGAAAGTCTACCTCCCAGCCAGTACTGCAATACTTACAGTACCTATTCCAGTGCTAGCAGCAGACCAAAAGCAAGACTGGACTAAAACTCAGGTTTACTCCATCTCAAGCTCTATTCACAAGGCCACACTGTCCCCAGGGATACAATCAGATCGCTTTAGGAGATTATTTAATCAAGTAACAGACCACATTGTTCCCAATTTTCACCATTTTCTTTTTTTCTGAATTATTTTGAACTGTGCTGCAGCTGTCATACATTTTGGAAGACCTACAGCATCAACCTGGTTATTTTACATTATTTATTTTTCATTTCCAGACATACTGTTGGTATACAATCATGCTTATTCATCTCAGTATGCCGCACCATGATTATAAATATCGTTAATAATGCAGAATACCTTTTGGCACAGGACAGGGAGCAGAATCGCTTTGACCGTAGGAATTTACTAGCATATCCCATTTTTCCACATGCCTCACACTTCAGGAGTTCATTCTCGATTTCATCTAGTCCCTCTAAAGAAAAGAGCAGCATAAACAAGGTCAGTTTAAACGATATAAACATAATGCCATGTCATTTCTTATCTCTTAATTGGGCAAGTAGAGAGACTTCATAAAACAAACAACTGATTTGAATGCCACAAAGAAGGTAAGCAGAGAACTGAAGCCAAATCAGTGGATTACAGATTTTAATTTTACATACACACTTTTGAGGTTAATGAATTCTTTTATTTTAAAATATGTGCCTCTTTTTTAATTTACAGTATATGTACAAGGAGACAGTGTCTTCACAGCTAATCAACACCTTTTTCATATTTTAACTCTAGGAACGGAGCCTGTTAAACAATTCACTAAGAGTATCTGTCATTCCATATTCAAAATGCAAGATGTGTGGCTTAGCTGCAGTACATCAGATCATTGCAAAGCACCATTTCTCTTCCCTGAACAGAAGAAAATAGAAGTCTTATTATCTGAGGGTTTGGGGAAGCCACTGAAGCACTGGATCTAGTTTATAGAAAAGGTAGACATTTCAGTTTTAAGAAGCTCACGAAATTACCGTATTTAAAAAATGCTTTTGCTTTTTGAGCAAAGCTGCCCAGCCCCAGCATGATTCCTGGAAACATCACTAGATTTAGTTTCTCTTTAGTTCACATAAAACTGTGGTCATGTGCAAGTAAGTCATGATCATAACCTATGAACAATGTAATCAAACCTTTGTCATGCTCACTTGATTGCTTTAGTGCTGATACCTGGCTTGGGGAATCCTGTCCTCTGTTGCATTAAGGGGTGTCCCAGTCTCAAAATAAATTTTGCTTACTATTACATTATTAATTTCCCTATTTTACCATCACAGCCTATGATACAAAGTAACTGCAAGACAGTGGATGGTATTAATTATAAAAATTGTGTTTAGAGTCAATCAAAAAATTAAATATATTTAGTACAACACTGTTTAATCCCTATAACACAGAAATCTAATGTCACTGCACCCAACCACTTCAGATGAATCCTCCAAATTACCTTTCAGTTTCTAGTCCCTTAAGAAACCTAGATCACGTAAATGGTTGCAATAAAAATTATACTTGAATATAGGCTGTAAGTGCAGGATTTGTTGGAAGTAGAGGGGAAGCAAAATTCCAGACTGAAAATGTGTACCATGGAGCAGTAGCTCCCTCATTTATATTGAAGGACGTCCAGCCTTGGAATTTCCACTAATTGAAACTACAGAAGAATGACCCATCCAGAAAGGCAGTCCTTCAGGTAACCAGTAAATAAATAACCTTTAACTTTACCTGAAAACCAGTGCAATTACTGAGAACTGGTATGTTATGATGATTCATATGTGGCACAATACTCAATGATAGACCAGTTTTACTTATACAAGTTTGAACTTATAAGTGGCCCCAAAAGTGCAGCTCAGGTTGCCCATAGTATAATAATTCATAGTCCTACAAAAGCACAAACGATAGTGACAAAAGCACAAATGACAGGACCAAATTCCATTCTTTTCCAAGCAGATACAATGGGGAAAGTGTATTTTTTGGATCTATCTGATGTTCTAGAAGCAGCCCTGGAACTGACATACTCATAGGATTGTAAACAAACAGATCCATGGGAATAGTAACACCCAGACTAACTTCTCTGGTTAGATCCCATTAACATGAAGCTTTCCCATTTAACAGATTAAGTGATGCAGGAACAGATGCCTGGATTTGCAAAACCTGAAACAATAGCTCTGAAAGAAGACTTCAGCCTGCCCATTTATTTCAATGAATATTACTGATGTCAGCATTTAAAATATTTCCACTGGCATGTAAGTTAACGCAATGCTTTTCCACATGCAAGAAAAAGAGTGCTATGTTTGTATTATGAAGATCTGAACAGTTTACTGCAACAGCACATATTGGTACTGCCGCTAAATGGGTTTGAGTGATACTTTTTTTACACTTTCAATCAAGGAGGAAACAAACACGGCCCCTGAGCCACTTGAAGAGACAGAAACTCAAGAAACCTTGCAGGAAATATAAGAATCACCAAAAGAAAACAGTGCGTGGAACTGAGCAGAATCCATCAAGAGTGAGATACGCCTAAGGAGCATGCACAGTCATATTCTGAATATCTGCACAACAGTATTTTACATGGAGCAGGTTTGCTTTGTAGGCAGAGCTTTTAAAACTACTCTCAGCTGTTGGCCTCCACCAACCAATCCTGATCCACAATCTATGAAAAAACACAACTGGAGATGAGACAATGCTTATCCCACAGGTGAAAACACGGACAGAACAAATTGTTTTTAATTCAAATAAGCACACACAAATTTTTGCAGTATTTGTCTATTTTTCCTCAATTTTTCTGATTCACTGGGTACAGGTATACCTTATATCTCACTATTTATTCCCCTTCATTACACTATGTAAAATTCCCACTTGGGTTCTAGCTTTTTGGTTGCACTCTGTGAAATCCTGCGCTCCCAACTAACAAAAGATTCTGGTACAGCAGTTTAGCTCAAAGAACAGGACTTTGAACTTTCAATATTTTGAAATATTAACTTATCATGCAGCTTGCCAAATGCTCACTTATCTGCATTCTCAGTAGAACTGTAGAGATGAAAGCAATAAAGGAGCAAAACATAAATAAATCAATAACATTGAAAAGATTATCTGGAAAAAATTTCCCAAAACCATGGAGGTACCAGGATCCAATTATACTACTAAGGCTAAATAAATCACTTCCTAATCTAAAACTGAAAATCTTACCACTATGAAGTCTCCAGCTTTGGAAGCCGATATCAAAACTGTAGTAACAATGGGGGAGAGCCTTATGGCAATTGCTTAGAATTGGAAAATGTACCATGTCTAACCACCTCTGCCACTGAAGCAGGGAGATAGATTTATTTGATGAGTATATCTTCCTAGGGTAGAAAAAAAATGTAGAAACACAATGTAGATCATGCTAACTGGAAAGAAAGGGAGAACTCAAGAAGAGTGCAGAAGAAGTGGATGTCAGAAAACCTGCTGCACTGCACATGAAGTGTTTCTTCCTGAACATGTAATTTAGCTTATGATGGGAAAAATATTTTGTTAATAGGTTCTGTGATTGTTCTTGCAAGCGTCTCAAAGCTGGATAATCTTTCCTGGTTTACCTAATGAGCAACTGCAGATCACATACATGAAACAACCCTCAGCTGTCAAAAGTGACAGCTACAAACATCAATGCAAATGTCTAAATAACAACAACAAACTTTGCATCTGCTGAGAAACGATGTTTATTGTTAGCACAGAAAAGACCCATGAGAAATCTGTGGAAAATGAAACTAACTCAATATCTATCAATGTAAGTGCCAATTACTAACTCTTCCATCATAACTGCAAGCACTAAAAGGGTACACCAGCAGAGAGCAGAAGTCCCTTATATCTCTTAAAATATTCTGGCTGAAATACAGTATTAGTCATTAGCAATTATTTAGAACAGTCATGTTCAACCTTCTTACCTACTGGGCCAGCCTGGCATCACCAAGTCCATTCATGAGCAAACCCAGCCAGTATTCCCAGTCTGGCAGCCGGGTGGGCACAGTGGGCACCATCTGGCCATGTGGAAGGGAGCAGGGAACAGATCAGCCCCTATGCAGCTCCACAGGGGAAAGGAGCTTGACCTGGGCCCAGAGAGGGAAGGGGATGTGGGCCAGGTCCTAACCCAGGGAGGGAAGAGGATGCAAGTAGGGGGAAGAGGACATGGCTCAGCCCCAATGGGAGGGAAAGGCATGTCTCCAGGACCCGATCCAAAAGGGATCTCAACAAAGGAAGGGGTTGCAGCCTGGGCCAGCCTACCACATGGCCGTTGAGGATTTGGCAGAGGGGAAGTTGGCCATTTTAATAGCCACTGCTCCTTCAACACCAAATTTTCTGACCTATGTGGAGTCCCGTGGGCCAGATGCAATGGCTGTGGGCTACATTTGGCCTGAAGGCTACAGGTTGAGAATCCCTGATTTGGAAAGCTGCTATTTTGTTCATCTGATAGTTTAATATAAACCACAAAGTGTACATTTCCAGACATGCACAAGGTCGAACCTTTCCCAAGTTGTTGTAAGGCAAGTTCTGTCTCTCTGTCTGCATGTGTTGAAAAGTGTTAAGTGAACCTTATGCCACTATTAAATTTATCAAAATAATATCAAACAAATGACAGAACTTACCACATATAACAACTTTGAAAGCCTCCTGCCTCTGAGGCTTTCCATATCATCAACCAGGGATCCGGGTTTTCCATTTACTGCAGAAAAAGATGCATTTTCTCCTTTAAAGGAAAAAACATAGAAACTGCAGGTTTCCCTTGCAGGGTGGCAGAGTTCCAGCCTGCAAGGGGCTGCTTAGTGCTGGGGGGAACAGGAGGCGGCCAATCCAGTGTAGGGGGTACCACATGCACATGCATATGCACACATGCACGTAGCAGCCAGGCAGTGTGGTGAAGAGCAGCTCCACATATGCAAGTCTATGGGGTGGAGCATAGGTGAGGTGTAGGCGAGCAGAGGGGCAAAGGCAACATGTCAGGGGGCAGGGAAGCATAGGTTATATGTGGGAGGAGCATGGGGGGGTGACATATGCACCCCCAGATTTCTGTGCCCACAGCAGACACGGGGCTGTAGCCTGGCTGGACCAGCATGGACAGGAGGAGCTGCCTCCACAGCCCAGGGGGCAGGACCTGGCACAGGAGGGCAGAACAGGGTGGCAAGACTCACCGCTGCTGCCACCAGCACCAGGACCCCCATGCCAGCCATATCACCAGCAACATGAGTAGCAAACGGAGGAGGGGAGGGGGAAGCAATTCTGCCCCCACCTCCTCCCACCACCAGCCACTCATGCACCAGGCTGCAGCTCTGCCCCACTACCATGGCCTGGTTGCCACCAACGCTGCTCCCTCTCAGGCTGCAGCTCTACCCTGGAGGGAAGGTGGGGTGGAGGGTAGCGAAAGTAGCTGGGACATGGTGGTGGAGTGGAGCCATGGCTTGGCATATGAGTGGC